TGCCTTGGTGGGGGTGGGGGATGGGGGGAGGGTGCCCTTTGAAATACTAGGGCTTGTTCATAGGCAGGGTGGTCCTCTGTCAGGCTATTGCAGAAGGGTTTCTACTCAATGAGACCTTGAATTGGAAACCTCTATATTATTCTCCCTCTACTCCTATCAGAGTTTGGATCCTGAGCTACAGCCTCTGCTTCAAGGTTCTTCACCAAACAAATGTATGATTTTCCCCTTTTCTATGCTGATTACTTCTTACTAATCTGTTTCTTCTGTGGACAAAAGGGGCCACATATTGACCTGACAAGCTCAGGGGAGGCCTGCATGGCGGTCTTGTAAACTCAGAGACCTATAGTAACCACAAAGGAGGGCCTGAAAGTAAACTTTAACTAAAAGCAGTTGTGGTGGGTAGTTACATCCTAGGTCAGTATCTTCACTAACAAGGTCAACCTTTACCTTAACTGAGCCTATCTGTCTTTTTGCATCTATAATAGCTTATCCTTGAAATGTCTGGGTAACTTGTAACTTCTTTTTTCCAGACCCCTTGGGGCACAACCTAATGTGCCTGGGCTCCAGGACAGATACCACAAATTCGTTCATTGTTATCCTGTTCATTTGCTGGAGGCTAATTCCAGCATGTCACAGATGCAAGAAGTTTCATCAAAAGGTTGATGGAACTTGAGGCTTCAGCAGGACTGAAGATTCATTGTTCCTGCACCCACCAAAGTATGTGTCTATCATTTTACTTTTTATCCAATCCCAGAGGTTTCCCTGCTTTGCTTTCTCCCACCTCTCTAGTCTATCACCAATGGATTTCATGTAACCCACCTGTTCCTCCTTTGGTTGCAATGTATAAAAAAGATAAAACCTTCCATTTTCTGGAGCATTATCTCACTTCATTGACATTCTGCTTCCCAGCAATTGTCGACAGTTTGGCTCAAATAAACTCACAAAAAATTGTTTACAGGTTTGAATGTTTTTTTAAGTTAACACTTCTTAGTAGAGTACAATTCATCTTAAAATTTATCACCAACTATAGTCATTATGCCATTTAATTCAATTTCACATCATCTGGGATGTATATTTTAAATTCAACCTGCGAGTTCCATTTTTTAAATGTATTCTTTTGTATTTGGTATTACCTTACTATCCAAACTAGAATATAAACTTCTCTGTGGAAAGACTGTATTTCTTCAAAATTTTCTTAACTACAGAGAGCCTAGCAGTGAGCCCGTTGCTTTCAGTAAACCCAGTGTTTGTTGGTTAAATTTACTACAAAATGTAAATATATAACAAGACAATTCTCCCTACAAGTATTTAAATGTAAATTATAATATTACTATTATTAACACAGTATTTTATAGTGTGCAATCTCTTCTCCCTAACATCTCTCAAACATCATCCCAATACACCAAGGTTGTGGGTTAGATCCCCATCAGGGCACATACAAGAATCAACAAATGAAAGCATAAAAAAGTGGAAAAACAAATCCATTTTTCTCTCTCTCTCTCTCTCTCTCTCTCTCTCTCTCTCTCTCTCTCTCTTTGTCTCTCTCTCAAGATCATTATATGAAAAGAAATTTTAGTTATCTGGTAAAGTATTAAATAGATCCATGTGCTTTCATAAGAGTTCTCTATTTCAACATTCACAATTATTTTAAATCGAAGAATTAATGTTGAATTATAATAATTAAGTTTAATGTTTCATTGATACTCAATTTAATTGTAGGTAAAGAAAAAATACACACTAAGGAAAACTCAGAACATTTATAATTCCTTATTACATGCTTCCTGTTTTTCAATTTATAATACAGGTTATCAATGCAGACTATCTAGTAAATGATTTTAATTTTTGAAATTTCAAAGTGCTTATCAAACACCTGGCAACTAATCTAAGTAGAGTTTACTCATTTTTTATTATTGAAGTTTTATAATTAACATTTGCATAAGAAGCACAAATTAATGTGTATATTAAAATAGCCTCTCTGGTTAGTAGATTTTTTTAGAATTCTTCTACACTGATTTTACTCTCCATTTAAATCCCAGATGAACTTCAAAGGCAAATCTTTCATATTCCTTTGGAATATTTTGTCAAATCTTTCATTTTGCTCCACTGTCAAGTGATGTTTCCAGTCTCCAACGGTACCTAGAAATAAGCACATGATCAGCACCTGGGTGAGTAAGTGGCACTATCAGGGCAAGAGTTTCTTCCCACCCACTTTCATCTCCTCTTCAAGCCACGCTAAATATCTGGTAGTTCTCCATGGGTTTGATACTTCATGTTTCCTTATATAGAAATGAACTAAGAAACAAACTAAAAAACACTTCTAAAGTTCACTTTCCTTAGCTATTATGCTTTCACCAACCCCTACCATTAAATTATAACCTTTATTGAGATGGTATAACAAAAGTAAAATAGATGACTAGGTTATAATTTTTTCATATATTTTACTAAATACCAGGCACCAAAGAAATACAAGTACCATATCATTTCACTCATATGTGAAATTTAATGAACAAACTGAATGAACAAGCAAAATAGATAGATTCATAGATAAGAGAGCAGACAGATAACTCTGCTATGGGGTAACTATTGGGAGTGTGGGGAAAAAATAAAAAGAAGAACTCATGGACATGGACAACAGTGTGGTGATTGAGCGAGGGAGAGAGGTGGGTAGAGGTGGAAGATGGGATGGGGGGATAAATGGGGATGGGGAAACAATACAATAAAGAGAAAATCCTATATAATAAAAGGGTAATATGCAAATTGACCCTAAGAGTGGAATGACCGGGAACGACTGGACACTATGATGCGCACTGACCACCAGGGGGAAGATTCTCAACGCAGGAGCTGGCCCCTGATGGTCAGTGCGCTTCCGTGACAGCACAGGGGGATGTCTGACTGCCAGGTTAGGCCTGATACCCCGGGAACGTCCCTAAGCCAGCAGGTGGAGATCCCCAGAGGACTCCTGGACTGGGAGAAGGCGTAGGCTGGGCTGAGGGATTACCCTGTCCAAGAGCACAATTTTTGTGCACTGGGCCTCTAGTATATATATAAAAATAACAATAAAAATAAATGCCGGGCACCATACTTGGCAAACTATATCTCTCATGTAATGTAATTTTTAACACAACTCCACAATATCGCATTTCTTCATTTTAAAATTGAAAAACCTGAAGGGATTAAGAAGTACAAACTGGTAATTACAAAATAGTCATGGAATGTAAAATACAGAAAGAGAATATGGTCAATAATATTGGAATAACTATGAATGGTGCCAGGTGGGTACAATAATTTTTGGAGGGATCACCTCATAAAGTATATAAATGTCTAACCACTATGCTGCATACCTGAAACTAATATAAAATAATCTTGAATCACAACTATAATTTTAAAAGTAAAAATACATAAATAAAAAGCTAAAGATAAAATAAATAAAATTGAAAAGAAAGCCCAGCCAGCAGTGCTTAGTGGTTGAGTGTAGACCTATGAACCAGGAGGTCACAGTTTTATTCCTGGTCAGGGCACATGCCCGGTTGCGGGCTCAATCCCCAGTGTGGGGCGTGCAGGAGGAACCAACCAATGATCCTCTCTCATCAGTGATGTTTCTATCTCTCCCTCCATCTCCCTTCCTCTCTGAAATCAATAAAAACATACTTTAAAATTTAAAAAAAAATGAAACCCAAAGATTTTCAAGTAATGAAATCAAGGTCACAGAGGGTATTCAGAGCTGTCATTGCTTCAGTTTTACTTGATGGAACTTAGAAACTGTCATTAAGCCAATTTTTAAGTAAAGATTATTTGGCATCTCCAACTATCAAATTTTCTTTCTTAAACACTCGAGGCCCAGTGCATGAAAATTTGTGCAATTGGCAGGGGTGGGGGGTTCCTCAGCATGGCCTGTGTCCTCTTGCAGTCCAGTACTCTTCGGGGGATGTTCACCTGCCAGCAAGAACACTACAGGAAAAGAAAACTAAAAACCAATATCACTTATGAAAGATAAGATAAAAAAATCCTCAAGAAATCACTAGCAAAACAATTTAAGTACCGGTTTAAAATAACTGTACACTATGAACAAGTGGCATTTAATCCTTGGATTGAGCCTAAGCTGGCAGTCAGACATCCCTCTGGTGGTCCGGGAGCCCTTGAGGGATGTCCAACTGATGGCAGTGGGCCTACGCCATCAGTCGGACATCCTTAGTGCTGCCGAGGAGGTGGGAGAGGCTTGGCTTGTGGCTGAGCAGAGCTCCCCCTGTGGGAGCACACTGACCACCAGGGGGCAGCTCCTGCATTGAGCGTTTGTCCCCTGGTGGTTATTGCGTGTCATAGGGACCTGTCGTTCTGCTGTTAGAGTCAATTTGCATATTACCCTTTTATTTTATAGGATTACCATTGGCATTTGGAACAGTTGGCAAGATATTTATGGGCATGAGAATTACTTTTTATTTGATCTAGTTAAGCAATGAGACTTAAAAGCTGATAAATGGGACAAAAAAGAAACACTTTTTTAAAAAAAATAGCAATATCAAGAACAATTTCAAGAAGATCTTCATTACCTAAGAATAAATATCCCTCATTAAAATGCTAAGTTATGGATAAATTAGTAAATAAAATATGAATAAAAGAAGCACAAATTATGTTCTAGAAAAATGTACATTAAAAGATCAAAAAAATTTTAAATTGAAATTAAGAAGTATCAGGGGAAAAATAATTGCCCCAGCTGCTATCTAGGTAAAGAGGCAAAGAGGAAGGAACATAAAATACTCAGGAATAAATGTGACAGGAGATGTAGAAGACCTATACAGTGAAAACTGCAAAATACTAAGAAAAACTGAATAAAACCTAAATAAATGAGCAATGTACCAGGCTCATGTATCAGAAGACTCAATATCTTAAGGTGTCAATTTTCCCCAAATTCATCTGCAGATTCACCATAATCCCAATAAAAGTTCCAGGAAACGTTTATGTAGAAATTTGTAAGCTTAGTCTAAAATTCATATGGAAATGCAAAGAACCTATTATAGCTAAAACACCCTTTTTTAAAAAAATATATTTTGATTTTTTTACAGAGAGGGATAGTTAGAAACATCGATGAGAAACATCGATCAGCTGCCTCCCTCACACCCCCCACTGGGGATGTGCCCACAACCAAGGTACATGCCCTTGACTGGAATCGAACCTGGGACCTTTCAGTCCGCAGGCCGACACTTTATCCACTAAGCCTAACCGGTCAGGGCTAAAACACCTTTTAAAAAGAATAAAGTTGAAGGACTTAAATTATCTGACTTCAAGACTTATTACAAAGCTAGAGTTTAAGTCAAGGCAATGAGAACTGGCCTCAAGATACACAAACAGATCACTGAAACAGAATGTAGGATCCAGAAATAGACCTATTATAGACAATTAACTCTTGGGGGAAAAAATGTTACTGAAATAAAATTTACATAACATAAAACCCACCATTTTAAGCATTTACAATTCAATGGATTTTAGTATATATACAGTATTGTGCAACCATCAACCCTAATTATGATATATTTTCATCAACCCAGAAATAAATCTTATTCCTTCCAATTTCCCCACCTCAATCCATGTCAACCACTAATCTACTTTCTGTCTCTATGGATTTGCCTAATTTGGAAATTTAATATAAATAAAATCATACTCAATGAAACCAAAAGTTGGTTGTTTAAAAAGAAGAACAGAAGTGACAAACCTTTAGCTTGATTAATGAAGAAAAATAGAAAAAAGACTTAAATTACTTAAGTCAGGAATAAAAGGAATATTCTAATGACCTTACAGAAATAAAAGAATTAGTAAGAAAATACTATTTACAAATGAATGCTGACATATTAGATAACCTAAATGAAACAGACAAATTCCTAGAAACTACCAAAAGTTACTCAAGAAATACAGAATCTGAATACCCAGAAGGTATTCAAATAAAAAGATTAAGTCAGTAATCAAAAAACTTACCCCAAAGAATAGCCCAGGACCAGATGGCTTCACCGGTTAATTCTACCAAATATTTAAAGAAGAATTAACACCAATCCTCAAACTCTTCAAAAAAATGAAAGAGGAGGATATACTTCCAAACTCATTCTATAAGGCCAGCGTTACCCTGATACCAAAGCCAAATGACAACACTACAGGAAAAGAAAACTAAAAACCAATATCATTTATGAAAGATAAGATACAAAAATCCTCAACAAATCACTAGCAAAACAAATTCAGTAATGTATTAAGAGAACTATACACTATGAACAAGTGAGATTTACTCCTGGAATGGAAAGATGAACAGCCCTAGTTGGTTTGGTTCAGTGGATAGAGCCTCTGTCTACAGACTGAAGGGTCCAGGGTTTGATTTCAGTCAAGGGCATGTACTATGATTATAGGCTCCTCCCCAAGCTGGGCCCTGGTCAGGGCACATGCAGTAGGCAACCAATCAATGTGTTTCTCTCACATCAATATTTCTCTCTGTATTTCCCTTTCTCTGTCTTTTACTCTCCCTAAAAATCAATGGGAAAATATCTTCTGGTGAGGATTAACAACTACAACAACAACAAAAGATCAGGAACAAGGCAAGGATGCCAATTCTCACCATTTATATTCAGCCTAAACGGGAAGTCCTAGCCAGAGTAAATAGACAAGAAAAAGGCATCCAAATTTAAAGAAAGACGAAAATTATGTGTTCACATACAATATGATTATATACATAGAAAACACTAAAGATCTACAAAAAAAAAACAACCGAAAAATACCACTATTAGAAATATTAAACAAGCTCAGCAAACTTGTAGATACAAAACCAATAAGAAGTATCAGGGGAAAAATATATTCATTCTTAATTCCTGGCATGTCATAGAAGCATGATAAAAATTAATTGCATGTTGTTATTGAATACTTGAATTCATAGCATGTTGGTTTCATGAAGTATTAATCTACTTTTTACATTGAAGAAATATGATACAGGAGGAAATAACTGTAACTCAAACTCCCTCCCCCACAACAAAATGCATGTTGGTTTACTTCTGGAATGTTCTAGGAGAAATAAAGGAGAACAATAATTGGAGCTGTCCTGGTCACACATATACATTATCTTCAGGTAAGATTTACTAACCAATTTTAAAAAGTAGGGACACGTAGATTAAAAGGAAGGAATGCAATATTGATTAATTAGGTTCAAGTGTTAGACTATGTACTAAAAAATTGTGTAGTTTCCTGGGATACTTTTCAGGGCCATTGGCAGTTAAGATCTTTGATTCTCTCC